CTTTTCAATCAATATGCAGAACAAATTATCTGGGAGGCTGGGCTGTATGAGGAGCATTGTGGCATTGGGATTGCAGGAAGATTCATAAACAATCTGCATTATGCAGATGATACAATCCTGCTTCCTGAAACGGAGTAGGATCTGAACTGCTTGCTGCAGAGGTCAAGGTATACAAGCCTCAATATGGATTGAGGCTCAATATCAAGAAAACAAAAATTCTCACCACTGGGTCAACTGGCAGCATCATGATTGATGGTGAAGAGACTGAGACTGTTTACAGCTTTAGTTTGCTTCTTGGCACCAGCAGCCAGGAATTCAAAAGATGTATTGTGATGGGAAAGTCTGCTGTTAGAGACCTCTCCAAAGTACTGAAGAGCGATGATATCACTCTGGAGACTAAGGTGTACCTGATAAAGTCCATGGCCTTTGCAATAACTTGTTGTGCATCAGAATGCTGGACAATGACTAGACATTATAGAAGGAGAATTGATGCCTTTGAACTGTGGCGTTGGAGAAGACTATTGAATATACCATGGACTGCTAAGAAAAGAGACAGGTTCATCCTAGAGAGGGTTAAACAGGCTACTCCTTGGAGGCAAGGATTCTGAAGCTTTGTCTGACATATTTTGGACATGTTACAAGGTGGGATCAATCCTTGGAGAGGGACATCATACTTGGGAGAATTGAGGGACAGCACAGGAGAGGAAGACCCTCTATGAGTGGATTGATTCCTTGACTGGGGTAATCAGAGTAGGTATGTCTGAGACAGTGAAATTGGCACAGGATAGAGCAGGGTTTAGGGCTATTGTACATACGTTTGCTATGTCACAGGTGACTCGATGGCACATAACAGCAACAACAGAATGAGTATGAGGATTCAAGAAGGGAAGGGTGGAATCAAAGGGATGAGGATGTGTGAATAGGGGTGCCGAATTAATCATGGGGTCGCACAATTTGATGGACGGATGAAGGAAATGGGAAGGCTCTCATGTGAAAAAAATGTATTCTAATTTTGTAAATAAACTAGTATATATAATATATACTATTATAATATAGTATTATAATTTAGAAGCAGGAGTGGCATCCATTTCAGAAATAACTTGCCTCCGGAAACTATGAACTCTGATGTCAATAGTTTTAGGGGGTCTTTCTGGCCTTTTGTTCACAGAATCATTCTGAGTCCTGCTCCACTCGAAAGCAAACAGCAATAACAACACTGTTATAATATAGTATATTATATGTAATATGTTATATATAATTACATAACATAATATAATAATTGTATATCTATATATCCCTATATCTATATCTATATCTATCTATCTATCTATCTACCTACCTACCTACCTCTCTAATCTGTCTATCTCTATATCTCTATCTTTATCATCTCTATCTCTATCTATATATATGTTGTACCATAGAGTCAGAATCAACCCATAGGTGACCCTCTAGTGGGTTTTCAGAGGCAGTTAATCGCACAGGAAGAGATTGCCCATCCTTCTCCCACAGAGTGGCTGGTAGCCTCTCTGCTTGGAAGGGTGGAGGACTGGTGCAGTAGATGAAGACCCTCAACCAGGTAGATTGACAGAGTGACTGCTGCAATGGGCTATTGAGTGTCGAGAAGTGTGAAGATAGAACAGGATAGGTCTGGGTTCAAATCTGCTCTTCATAGTGTAGCTATAAGTCATACTCGACTTGATAGCACCTAGTAATAAAAACATACTTTTTAAGCTTCTGGCAATAAATATATATTTTGGGGAAATCATTTTTTTAGTATTGTATGTCAAAATAAAATTCAAGAAGTATACTTTGGAACAGAAGAGTTAAGACTAAGGACTATATATAAAGCAACAAATGTTAGGTTATTAGACACCATTAAATGGGTATTTTTTTTCCTTATAACAACTCCTTCTCACAGTATTAGATGTCCTTTGAAAGACTTTCTTCACTATGATGATTATGGAGCCATATTTCTTTCTCTTTCTTTTTTTTTAGCAGTTTAGTTATTTTTTTAAATTGTGATTTTAACAAAAGTTTACAGAAAATTTGGATTTTTATTCATTCATAGTTTTATCATTTCCTCCCTCCTCTCCACCCCTCTCCCAGTCCGTTTTGCTATACACCTTTTATTCTGAGCTATTGTCATACAAATAATGCCTAATCTTATATTCCTTTTAAATAGTTCTTTATTTCATGTGTTCAAATGCACTTTTTTCTTCGCTTTCCCCCAATCTCTGTGTTAGTCATATTTTATCACAATGTCATTACGCAGTATTTGTGCTTTTGTGACTGATATACTTCAGGATCACCTATGTTGTGTAATATTTTGAGTTCCTTATTTTTCAGTGCTGTATAGTATCCCATTGTGTGACTATACCATGTTTTTTCTACCCATTCATTGTTTTGATGGGCATTTGGTTGTTTCCATTTCTTTGCTACTATGAATAATGTAGAAATTAACATGGTGTACATATATCTGTTTGGATGACAGTTTCAGTTTCTTTAGGATATATTACTAGTAGTGGAATTGCTGGGTCAAATGATATTTCAATTTCCACATTTTTAAGAAAGCACCATATTGTCTATCCACCAGCAGTAAATAAGAGTTCCTGTGTCTCCACAACCTTGCCAACATTTGTGGTTTGTAGCTCTGTTGAACGTTGTTATTGTTACTGGGGTGAGATGATATTTCATGTTTGTTTTAATTTGCGTCTCTGTTAGGGCTAGGGATTTTGAGCATTTCTTCATGTGCTTGTTGGCCGTATGAATGACATCTAAATATTTTCTTTGGTGCAGTGTCTATTCATATCCTTTGCCCATTTTGCTATTGGGTTATTTACCTTTTCTTCTCAAGGTGTGGTAATGTTCTATATATTTTAGATATGAGTATCTTATCAGATATATCATTAACAAATATTTTTCCCAGTCTGTGGACTTCCTTTTTTATATGCATAGTGGACTAATTCAGTAAAGTCTCAGGATACAAAATTAACATACAAAAATCAATTTGATTTTCTCTATAGTGACAAAGAAAATACAGAAATGTACCTACAAAAGAACAATACTTACCACCATAGCTAACCATAAGGTTACACATTTGGGAGTAAATCTAACTAGAAACACAAAAGACCTATTTGAAAAAAAAATTACAAAACATAACTATAAGAAACAAAAAAGACCTGGAGAAATGGAAGTATATACCATGCTCATGAATAGGAAGACTCAATATTATGAAAATGACAATTCTACAAAAGTGAATTTATAAGTCAATGAAGTCCCAATACAAACACCAATCCCATTCTTCAATGAGATGGAAAAAAAGCAATTTCCAATATCAACTGAAATGAAAAAGTCCCCCAATAACAAAGCACACCTGAAAAACAGAAACAAGGTAAGAGGCATCTCACTCCCTGAACTCAAATCCTATTACACAGTCATTGTAGTCAAGAAGACATCATGGTACTGGTAAAGTAACGGACACACAGATTAATGGAAAAGAATTGAGAACCCAGAGGTCAGTTCATCTACCTATAGTCAACTGATTTTTGACAAGGTGACAAAATCACTTAAGTGGGGAAATAAATGCCTCTTTAACAAATGGTGTTGGCAAAATTGGAAAACTATCTGTTGAAAACTCAAGTAAGACTCACACATCACACAATAAACAAAAATAAACTCAATGTGGATAAAGGACG